AGTTCTGTTAATTAGTTACAACTAATATTATCATTTATATCCCACCTTTCTTCCTCTTCAAGGAACCCAAGGGGGACAAACCAAGTTTTTCTCCTACTCATTTCATTCTCACAAGAACAGCAGTGTGTGGTAGGTTAGGCTGAGACTACGACTGGCCCAAAGTTACCCAGTGAACTCCAGGGCTCAGTGACAACTAGAATTCAGATCTTCTGAGTTCTTATCCAGCACTCTTAACCACTACAACCACACTGGCGCTCAGCTATGGGATGGCTCAGTCTATTTTCAGTCAGTATTAAGTTCTGTTTGTGTTCATTCCTAACTTTTTTTATCCCATTTTTGTCCCAATTTCTATAGCACAAAAAGCATGTGGACTACATAGCCAAAGTATTTATTCTCACAGATTGTACAATGGCTCTATTTAGTTGCAATCCAATATGGTTTAACTGTTTTAGTACCCTGTTACTATGCCTGTTGATTCTTGAAATATATGAATTTCAAAATAGGAAAATTGATTTAAATGGTGGGATCTTTTGATGGTAATTTGAATCTTCTTTTTGGGGACAAATACTATTGAAAATGTTACTTTAAAAAACCAATTATTTTGAAGTAATACAAAACTCAGAAATAAACCTCTTTGTAGCCTCTTTGGATCAATGTCCTTGGTAAGTGTGAGCTGCATTTTGTCATCAGACACCTTGCAGGGCATTGCTCAGGTAAGGCTTCTCAGCCTGAACTCCCAGAATTGTCCAAGTCCAACTTTTAAAAAATGTGTTCATCTGGGGCACAAAGGGAAAAATGGTGACAAACCACTGACTGCTCCGCAAATGTGTTGCGTTGGGTACTGTGAAGGGGGCTGTTATTTGCGGTTAATAACTCAGAAAGCAACCTCCAAGAAGGAGGCAAGGGACAAAAAGCTGTGGTGGTGAAAAAGAGACTGTGATTACAGCAGCAGACACTGAACCAGTTACAGGTAGTGGCCTGAGCGAGCTCAGCATGGACAGCAAGGGGTTTTGCTGCCCTTGCTAAGCAGCTTGTTGTTGTTACATTTCCATACTGCCTATAGCTGAAGCTCTCTGGGTGGTTTACAAAAGGTTTAAAAACAACAAATAAAATATCTGCTGCTAACTGCTTCCCTAGACTTACAACGGGGTCAGATGACACATTTAACCAAGTGTGGGTCCAACAGCTTTTAAAACAAGTCATGGATTGTCAGGGTGGCTTGCTACCCCCACACAAGCCATGCTGCAGTCTGGAGTTACATGACATGACACCCCACTGAGATTTGTCACCCACCATGGATTGTTGTGTGATGTGAAAGGAGTACAGTAATTGCTGCTTGGGTTCTGGAAAAATATAATTGGTCCAGCAGAAATACAAATAGAAGAAAGAAAGGTTAATCAGTCAGATCACATATGTGTGAATGACCTCTGTCTCATGACCAAAGAAAATCCAAGCATATTGTATAAAGTAATAGACACTTGCATTTGAAGAAATCTACATCAAGTTGCATTCCCTCCCTCCCATGTTTGAAGTAATACACAAAACAATGTTTAAGCACAGTATTACTTGGCAAGAAAGGAAGAGGTGACTCAGAGGCAAGGCTTGAAGATGTAAAAATTATGTTTTAGAATCCACTTGGGGAAATGTATAGGCTAATCATTATTCTATATAAGCATGGGGCTTGGTCCCTACTCAGCATCAGCCTTTTCAGCTGTACACTTAAGCACATTACTTGGAACTTCAATCATGATCAGCGAGACTTATTTCCAAGCATATCTGCTTAAAATCCAGGTGCCAATGCTTCTTGACCACAATTCCCCATACATAATATTTTAAAAAACAATTCCAAATGGATGATTTGGGAAGACAAACTGTTAAGATACTCATCTAATTCAGCTAATATGCATATCCTAATTGGGGTTGGGAAGCAATATTTGCAAGGACTGCTGATGAGCAACATCCCATGGGATGTTAAATCAAAGGGCCCTTCCACAGTAACTAGTGATAGGGTCTAGATAGGGTTGGCATTATCTAAAAGACTGAAAGAATGCAATCATTTTGTGCAGGATACATTCTGAGAAACTAAGTAGATGTATTCAAAATCTAATATTTGAGCTGCAATAAGTGCATGTTAATGTAGTAAAAAGAGAAATATTTACACTAATTTGTGATGATCACTTCCTACAGAGAAATTAAATAAATATGCTGTCATGCTGCATAAGCATTTGAAACCAGTAAAGTTTCTCTTTTTCTCTGAAGTTCTTGTATTCCAGAACTAGTCAAATAATAGAATTTCCTTTCAATCTGACAATTGTTTTCAGTCCTGATAATACCAATTTCTCAGTTATAACAGGTTGCAGTTTTCTAGTACTAACTCATCCAACCCTTCCTGAGAGGATCAGAGGAAAACAGAGACAAGCAAAACAGTATCCATCTTTATTTATGCATCAGATTCCTTCATTCAAAATATTTGAAATCCTGTAATTTCCATGTGCTGATTATGCATAGCAATATACATGAGAACAAGCAAAGAATATATTACCAACCATTAAATTAAATAATGAAATATTATATTAAATGCAGATTGTCAAATATGAATATGATAAACTCCCAAATCATTTTATTGATTGGTAGGAATATATTAACAGTAATAAAACATGTATTTTAAAGGAGTATGCACATATGCAACTCTGCTAATACTGAAATACACAATCCCAGAGTTCCAGAAGGCACAACTTCTTGCATTTTTCTAAGAAACAACTCTTTACTTATATGAAATTTAAGATCAAGGTAGAACTGAATGGCAGATCAACTACTAAATTTCATTCCTGTCATCTGGATGGTGTGTGTGTGCGGGGGGGGGGGTGGCCATGTCTTTATATTTTTAACAGCACCAGGGTGGTCTGGCGCCTTGGGAATTCAAGAGTTCTAAAGCTGTGAGCACCCAAGCCTCAAATGCCCCCTTTCAGGGCCTTCTCTCAACTACTGCTGCAGGAGCACCACTGGTATCACTTTTCTGCAGGTGGACTGAAACTAGTAGGATGGAGAAGCTGCCACAATGTGAAGGCTAGTGGAGAGTCCTCTCCAGCAAGCTAGCTCCAGGGAGTAGAATTGTACTCTTCATTGTGAGATCACATATTGCATGAACTCTGAACATATTCAGCTGACTCTTGCAGTGTCTACCAACTGAAGCTGAAGCTATCTTTGTTACACAACCAGAACAATTTCAAAATGTATTGAACAGAACCTGATATCCCTAATATTAAGTAATCACATTTTTACTGGTGAAACAATAATGTCCAAAAAGGAAGGACTGATCCCCCATCTCAATCTGTTTGGCCTACTTAGGAAGTCTGGGCCTCATAGCTTAGCAGGAATGATTTCCAGGAATTTCTTTACACTTAGCTTCTGCACAGTGTTGTTCATCTATCCCACTGATACCCTCTCAGTGCAAATAGACATGACAGGGTAAGATCCTATCATGCTGTACTTCCCGAGATTAAGATTGTAATTGTAAACCCTACTGACCAAAGACTGAGTCCTGGTGAACTAAAACAGGTTTATTTCTGAGCAGATCTACACAAGACTGTGCTGTAATAGTAACTGAAAGAATCACTGAATCCACTTAGGACCACAGTCCTGGGTGGGTAAACCCTTCCTCTCCCTTCACATACTTTTGCATCATGTAAGCTGGTTCAGTCCCACAGAGGAAGAATAGATGCATGCATTCTGCATGTATGGTGTCTTGCTTACGGCAAACACCACCTGGAGGGAGGAGATTTTCAATGAAAAAATTCCAAGAGGGGATACACCTCTTCCCCCAGCACTACAGGCACAGTCAAATTCTGACGTCAAGCTGTTAAAAGCAGTAGAAAATCTGATCAGTGATCTACAGTCATCAGATCCAGTTTGGTCTTCAAAGAAGAATGCTCTTTGAAATAAAATTGCGAGTTTTTAACAATAAAATGTGGATGAAATGTGTATATTTATTTTAATATAAAATTTGCATACAATTAATATGATTTAAGAGTCAGAAAAAGAACTCCTGAAATTTAAGAATAGATCAGCAATGAGTCTAGTCACTAAAAGAAGTTACAGGATCAGCCTCACCCAATATGTGAAAGTTTGTGTGTCTCAAATACAGGAATCTGTTAGGAAAGCTTTGGGTATCAGAGGTCTGTGCTTTGAGCCAAGCCCAACATGGCTGCAATCTCAAAGCTGCTCATCCAGTTATGTTACATATTTGTGTAAGTCACGTGCGCTCCTCACCACTACCCCACAACAAAAAGATAGTTGCTACTTCAATCAGAAATGACCTCAGTTGTTCTGTATTTCACACGAGATCACCAATCCTGTTGTATTTAACACTCCCTTGGTCAGGTGAAGCCTTCTGTGGCCAATATCCTGTCTTTGTGGGAAGGTACCATTTCTGAAGGTACCATTTCCTTCAAGTGTACTTGACTGTAAGCAATACAGAGCAACTAAATCTTTAGCTACAATAAAGAATCATCCTACAGCTTAATGGATTCTCTTCCAACATGAATAATGAAGAATAGAAGTCATCTGCTCCATTACCCCAGGTAGGCCTGACTGTGGCATGCAGCAGAATAAAGCAACTTATTTCAGGCAACACCAGTTGCAGCTGTAGGTTTGGTGATGTGTATTTTTATGCCTAGCACGCTGAACATTTTTAACTGCTACAATTGTCCTCTCTTTTTGCTCCCTGCACAGTGGCTTTTGGAGCACACAAAGCAATTAGATATTACACCAGTATATGTTATTTATCTTGACCATAAGTTATAAACAGTATTCCTTCAAGGAGGTAAAAATCAAGCTCTCATAAATGATAAAGGCAGAAGCTTTATTCACCAAATGTTTTATAAGTATTTCACTCTATTCCTCATCAGGTGTGTGCATGCATATGCACAAGCGAACAGCCACATGTGTGTGCATGCACAAACACACTTTAAACCAAGACCTGAACTACAGCTTTCACCTACCTATGCATGTCTTCCCATCAGAGTGTAGCACAAATTTCACATGACAGCCACATTTTGGCCCTTGATCTGTATCATCACAAGTGTGCTGGCACCCTCCGTTCCCATAGTTGCAGGTCACTGCAAGGGGCAAGAAAACATGTAAACAGTGGGGAAGCTCCTAAATTGTGTCATCAGTTACAAGTTGAATGCAAACTGTCATGACAATCAAGTTTCACCAAAACTGTTTATGCACTCCAAGATCTTTCATCAAATTGTCTTGAGGCTTAGCAGGTTTAGACTGTTACAGCAAAAACAACAAGACTCTTATGCTACTTTAAAGCAGGGGTAGGCAACATGCATCCCACGAACCCCATGCAACCTTCCCAGGGCAATTTTAGTGCATGCACCCTCCCCTGCTGTTGTATTTGTTCTGGTGGCAAGCAGAATTATGTTTCCAGAAGCTTCCTGGGAAGCATTCTGGAATGAACTCCCTCTTCAAGGGCAGTCAGGCACATTCAAGTGCCGGATGCAAGCTCAGTCAACTTACATAAATTGTCTCTTACATCATCAAGTGCAAGACAAGCAAAGGATAACCAGCCATGCACAAGAACTACACTGTTTATGAGTCCATTTAAAAGTGCTCTGAGAAAGTGCAATTAATATAAACGAGCTCATACCCCTGGAAAGGCCTCAAAACAAAAATCAGTCAGGTTGCAGTAGAGCCCACATTTCCATCTCTACACATTCTAACTTGACTCAGAAATCACCAGGAAGATGCATCAAAGTCTTCCCAGACTACTGATTGACCAGTTTGAATTATCCTTCTTGGGAACTGGCCAGCCTTGTATCATGATTGTGACTTTCTTTTACTTCTTCAGAAGGCTGGCAAAGAGTGAAGGTGTGGGCCTCATTCTGCCCCTGACTGACATCTATGAATCCCAAGGCAACGACTTACACTTGCAGTCTCGTTGATTCTTCGTGAGCTCAAAGCCAGGTCGGCATTCACAAGCAATGCCACCCTTTGGGGTCTCTCGGCAGATGTGGGCACAACCATGGTTCTTGTTCATGCAGTTCATTCCTTCTAAAAGAGAAAAGAAGCAACATGAAAGCTATCCATAAGACACCAAGGCAAGGAAGAAAAAGCTCCATGTATATATTTTAACAGTAAAAGGCATGTGTAGATAGTAACATCCGGAACTCCCAGGGCCTAAGTAGGAGTACAGGAGGTATTCTGCAAAAAGGCAAGTATCTTTTCTTATTCACTGCATGATCAGCAGTTCAGATTGTATCAGCCCCATACAAATCCCAGTAATAGTCTCTGGCATGTAGGTAAGACAGGCTGAAGCTCCCTGACATGACTAGTCTGCAAGGGTTGGAATTACTGAAATAACACATCAAATCCCCTTCACAGGAGTTGTCCATGATGTTTCACAGTTAAGTGTAAGAAAGCCTTCGCTAAAGGAGGACCACTCTCTGCAACCATGGTTAGCAATGAGCATTTCTGCAGAAAGTACACTAAAAGTGCAATCCTGAGTTCAGTCAGACTCTGGTCCAGGTAAGTATGTTATGTACAAGCTTGCATCCATTGAGTACCAGGAAGATTGCAGGTAAGACTGATAGGCAATTACTCTCTAAATACATTCCTGTGTCAGATCTAGAAGAGTAACTATTCCTGGTTTTGACTGATTCACTAGTAGATCAATTAAAAATATATAAAACACTTAGTAAAATAAAAAATTATCACAAAACAGAGTAAAATATCTTTCCACTGTAAAGACTTAACATACCAAGTAAAAACAAAGTGTCCTAAGAGCAATTCATTTCCTATAGAAAATATATCCTGAAGCAAGATTTCTGGGCCCACCCTATCCTAAATGTTTGCAGGTGCACTATTTATTGAGAGGTGCCACGATGGCAGGGTCATGCATTTCACACCAGCACTGCCCCGGTGCTTTCCAGATGTGATGCCTTACAACTCCTATAATTCCAAGCCTGTGTGGCCAAGTCTGCTTCACCCTTTCTAGATTAAAATCTGAGGCATCACATGCATTAGACAGCTAATTACCACTACCAATACACTGTTGCATTTGTTAAGACCACCAAATGCCATGGCATTTCATTCTGTTGCCCTAATTCCACTGCCCAAAATCTCAGTGCCCAACCTTTCCTGTTATGCATCCCACATGAAAGCAGGAAACATCATCTTCACTTAGTCCCTTCCAGTCATATTTCCTATTACCCAACCCCTGCTTCTCATCCTACCAGTAGTTTGCTGCCTTATCATCCTTCTCATTCCACATCTCTATCTCTGCAATGGTGCAGCAGGCAGCCAACTCAAGGCCTCGGTGTTGTTTCCCTGGGATAAGGTCAAACATCTCTCAGGCTCTCTCTGTGCTGTAAATCTGCCAGAGGCAGCATTAGCTACAGACACTGCTGTCTGGCCCATCCAAGATGCAAACAAAACAGGGTGCTGCTGACTCACATCCCTGGATTGTTTGTGCTTTGCTCTGGCATGAAGGACGCAGTGTTCTGGGCCTTAGCATCAATCTCTCTGTCAGCCACCCACCACAAGCAGCAATCACAGCCAAGGTGGCCATGCCCCCTGCATCAAGGACTGGGAGGGCTGAAGCAGACTGGGGTTTATGGGAAGTAACCCAGACCTGTCACAGTGCTCGAACTTTAAGGCTACAAAATTAAGCACAAAGTGAGTCCTATCCCCTGGACAAACATGCATAGAGGCAATCTGGAGTCCCATCCCCAGAGCAAACATGCATAAGCAGCTGGACCATCCAGAAATAATTCTAAGAAAGTCATGTATCCTACGTGAAAGATCAACCGGCCACATATCCAAATGTGAAGTTTCCCAGCATCACGGAAATGAGGCATAGTGAGTCAGCAGATTCCAACAAGAGCTTTTCATTCATTGGAATTTACTATTCCTGAAGTGGACTATACCAAGAAATGGAGTTACATAAAGTGCCCATACAATCTGGACTATAACCAAAAGATGGAGTTACAAAACAAGTGCCCATGCAATCTCAAGATGAGAGGTCAGAAGGTAGTATAAATATAGCATATCTCTTGATCCAGGTAACATACTGTTATGACAGCAAAAAGCAATACCTAGAGCACTGATGAGCAGTAGTGTCATTTGTAGATTTCTACAGCAGCAGCCTTGGGGTCATTATTTCTCTCATAGTCTAATGTGTGTTTTTTTTATAGGCAGGCTATTAAACCCCAAGAGTTAGACCGAGGTGTGAAAGGCCTCTGACAAACAGGGTGGGCTGCATACAGCTACAGGAATCTGCCTGAGAACTAATAGAAGGCTATCACTTGCTGATAGTGCTGGCCCCATGTGCTTTTGTATTAACCAAACCTAAAAAAAATCAGGCTGACGCCTCTATGTGCCTAGTTTACTAGCAATGTGGAAGTATTTCTCTCCTTGGTATGCAGAAGGCAGCTTCTGTCTGAAACTCCTGCCTTGTACTTTTCTGCACTCTATCCTGATTTCCCTGATGTTCACATTTCTAGTCTATGCATAACAGTATGAAAAGCTGTTGGGACCTCTGCAAGTGGGTCCTCCATTCACCAACCTCTAGCTTGGTCACTCAGTGTAAAACACAGAATTTTTCATCAGTCTAACACTGGAAGGTGTCAGCCTGAGAGGAAGAAGCAAAGAATATGAGAAGGCAGGTGCTCAAAACTGCACATCAGTGTCAGATTACTCCTTCCACATTATATTCCTTATACTACTCTCTTCCTCTCTGTTTCTTCCCTTTCCTCCCCACTGCAACTCCTTCTCAGATCCTCCCCATCTATCTGCCCACACACACCTACATTCTCTGTATCTTTCCCCAATGAGGGCTTTTATTGGTGTAGTGGTTAGTGCATCGGGCTGGGAACTGGGAGATTCAGGCCCTTGTCCCCACTTAGCCATAAAACTCATTGGGTGACTTTGGGTCAGGCACTGACTTGCCTCACAGGACTGTTGAGAGGATAAAATGGAAAGGAGGAAGATTGTGTAAGTTGCCTTGGGTTCCTTGCAGGAAACTGGTGGGATATAAATATAGCAAATAATTAAATAAATCACGTGTGAAGAAAGTGGTCAACTTAAATCCTTTTTGCATGTTGAAAACTTACAGTAGTAGAAGGAACAGGGGAACAAATAGCGTTACTTTTTCATTTCACATTACATGAGGACACAGGGCACCGAGAAAATCAAACAGTCACTCATGTTTTAAGCAGAGTGATGTGGTAGCAGCCCATGTCCATTTCTGCAGATGATGGCAGCCATTTGGATCCCTTTTGCTCACCATCACTATTATTCATGGTAGTCAGATACATCCACTAGCAGAAATGGCCTCAGCTCTGTCGCTAGTTCATGCCCTGCCAAAGGTATGGCTATCTGGCTATTGACTATTAATAAAGCTGGAAGAAGTACACTAAAACATCCCGTTTACTGGGTCCACGGCTTAACCACTGATCTATTGAGCAGTATATGCAGAGTTAAGGACAAGCTAAAATACATGAAAAACTGCAAAAAGTATATCACTGGGGCCCTTCCCCCTAAGCACTACACACCATTAACATTTCATGAGCTTTTTAACAATAACTACTCTCACCATGAATGAAGGAGGAGCAGAAGAATGGCAATGAAAAAAGAATAAGACTGTCCCCAACCTCCCCTGCATAAATAAGCCTTGCCTGAACAGTGCAAAAAACTTACTTAAAGGGTTAAGCATGCAAGCTTAACAGGACTCATGCTGGAACTGATCAAGGGTCCATCCAGTCCTGTAATCTGCTCACACTGCAGTCAACCAGCTCCCTGTGGGACAACCATAAGGAGGACAGAAGTGCAATAGCACCCTCTTGCTTATGCTGCCCAGCAAATAGCATTGAAAGGCATACTGCCTCTGATACTGAAGGCCGCATACAGCTTCTGGGATTGATAGCCATTGATGGCTTTATCCTCCTTTAAAGCTTTCCAAATTGGTGGCCACATATACATCTTTTTGTGGTAATGAATTCCATAGCTTAACTATATGCTATCTGAAGAAGTACTTCATCTTATATCTCCTGGAAGCATTAGGATTTATGGTGGATTTGCACATTTTAGGCAGGGTAGTCGGTGCAGAGCTGCCATTCTTGATAATAGCTTCATATTTCCTTAACATTTGGTTCCTTTCTTGAAAAACAGTTTAGAAGTGTTTGTAACAAGGCTATTTAGAAAAAGGCTGGGGATTATGATTTGTCACTTAGTTTTGCAACTCAACACATTTTCTTGGGAAGGGATCTCTCCTGATTTCTTTGAGAAAGCACAACAGTTGGTCAGGGCTCAACACTGTAGAAAAACAGAAATGCATGAAGCCATACTTCCCCTAGGTGTGGCAAAAAGCTTTTGCACAAACTAGAAAGTAAAGTGAAAATACTAACAACAGAATGTACTGTAGACCTCACCTCCTCTTCATACAGTTTTTAGGAGCATACTGCAAATAAATACAGTTAACCAGGCTCAAATGACTTCTGAAGTAACAAGAGTCATCAACACTACATAACATGACTAGTATGAGCAATGTCCTGTGGAACATCAAGCTGGCCATTAATCTGGTTGATCTGAATTGACTTTACAGGTAATTACATGGTAACAGGTAATATACAATACCTGAGAGATAACAAAACAGATACAGTATAAGCTGGGAAGACATTGTGATAGTTCTCTGCCCAAATGCAGAGTACACGAGTTCAAAAGAGAGAGAGCACAGAGGAAGGAAAAGAGGGTATGGTTACAGGAGACAAGCAACCATACACACAGAAGGAGAATACTGTGTACTGCTGGAGTGGGGAATGTTTTCTAACACAATGGCTGGATTGTCATCCAGGAAGCCTACTAGGGATCCATGTAACAGCCGTGGACACTTGTTGTTAGTTGCAAAGTCGTATCCGACCCATCGCGACCCCATGCACAACATTCCTCCAGGCCTTCCTGTCCTCCACCATCCCCTGGAGTCCACTTAAGCTCACACCGACTGCTTCAGTGACTCCATCTAGCCACCTCATTCTCTGCCTTCTAGCACCCAAATA